AAAAAAAAAATCTATAATTTTGACCCATACAATGTATTTTTGGCTATTGCTACAAATACACCCCAGCGACTTAAGACTGGTTTTGTGGTCCAGGGCCACATTTGTCTGAGAGGGGCACTTTTGAATAATTTTGAAAATTATTTTTAATAATCCTTCCGCACGTGCCTGCGGCGAACACAAGAATCTTTACAACTTCTCTCGACATGAATCTTTTGGCTCCCTTCGCTTGCTGTAAAGTGTTCCACGGTTGGATACATGTGGTCCAATCATAACCCGACGTTCAAATGACATAATCGTTTAGTTTAAGATTGACAGTCGATCTATCCAATCAAATGCGCCTCCGTGTGTCTTGTGTTAGTTGTGACGCGAACAGTTGACATTTGCTCAAAAATTTTGATGAGAACAAATTACTTGAGAGAGTATATTTAGGTTTTGTGAGCTACAGTGTCAGGCCATACGTTCCCCCGCCGCTAAGATGTTACAAATGCCAAAAATTCGGTCACGTAGCGGCAGTGTGCAGAGGCAAACAGAGATGTGCGCGGTGTGGAGGTGAGCATGAATATGGCAAGTGTGGGCAAGGTGTAAATCCTAAGTGCTGTAATTGTGGAGGAGAGCACAGTGCAGGATACGGAGGATGTCTAGTAAGGAAAAATGCAGTGAAAGTTCAAAATGTCAGAGTGGCTGAAGGAATATCATACGCTGAGGCTCTAAAGAAAGTAAAACAAGCACCCAAAATAATTGAAACTAAGACAACAGCACCACAACAAAAAACAATGTTGAATGGGCAAAGTAAAGAGAGAGAAATGATTGTTGATAAAGTGTCATTCGTAGCATTCATAGCAGAAGTGGTGAATTGCTCTGCTCAAACTGAAAGCAGGACCGAGAGAATTAAAATCATTATCAGAGCTGCTGAAAAGTATTTGGAGTTAGAGGATGTTACAGTAGATATGATAAACGAAAGGCTTAAGATGCAAACAGTAAACAGTCAGACAGAAAACAGCCAAACATGTGGTGGTACATAATGGTGATAACAATATTGCAATGGAATGCAAGAAGTTTAATTGCCAATGGACAAGAATTCAAAAAATTTATAACAAATCAAGAAAATAGTCCTGACATTATATGTGTTCAAGAAACATGGCTTAAACCGCAGTTAAATTTTTTAATTCATGGATACATTACAGTCAGAAGAGATAGATGTAAAGGAAATGGTGGTGGGGTAGCAACATTTATTAAACAAGATATTGGGTATAGAACAGTTGAGGTAAATGGGGAGCAAGAGGTTGTAGTGGTTGAAATATGGGAAGAAGTACAGAGTATTAGAATAATTAACGTTTACAATCCATGTGATAGATTATGCAAGGATAAGCTAGAAAATATTGGAGGAAATGGAAGTCATAAAGTGGTGTGGTGTGGTGATTTTAATGCACACAGCACATTGTGGGGGAGTACTAACACAGATTACAATGGATTGATCATAGAAGACATGCTAGGATGTTGTTCTGCAAAGACAGTAGACAACAAAAAACGGCCCTGGGAATAAAATCACTGATCGGACATAAAGTTGTATGCTCAATCCCAGAAGAGAAGAATTGGGTTAGAGGTGTGATAACAGGGATCCCAACTGATGTTTCAGTTGAGAAAATTAAAAGAAATATAACAGGGGCAGCAGTAAATGATGTCAGACGGCTCAAATGCGTCAGAAATAATGAAAAGACTGATAGCCTGTCAGTAATGTTAAATTTTGATGAGGTCAAATTACCTGAGAGAGTATATTGAGGCTTTGTGAGCTACAGTGTCAGGCCATACGTTCCCCCTCCGCTAAGATGTTACAAATGCCAAAAATTCGGTCACGTAGCGGCAGTGTAGAGAGACAAACAGAGATGCGCGCGGTGTGGAGGTGATCATAAATATGGCAAGTGTGGGCAAGGTGTAAATCCTAAGTGCAATGTGGATGGATTCAAAACTGGATTTTAGAATTCATATTCAGAAAATAGTAGACAAAGGTAAAAAAGCAATAAATGTAATGAGGTGCTTGGCAGGTGTTAAATGGGGGGCATGTCGTCAGTCTCTCAAAAGAATATACTGTGCACTGATAAGAGCAAATATTGATTATGGCAGTATGGTGTACAGTTCGGCATCTAAAACACAACTTTTAAAGATCGAGGCAATTCAATCACAAGCACTGCGAATATGTTGTGGAGCAATAAGATCGTCTCCAATAGCAGCAGTACAAGTAGAGATGGATGAAATGCCTCAGGAAATTAGAAGGCTCAAGTTAAAGATGAGATACTGGATTAATATAAAAGGACACTTAGATAGTCATCCAGTTAAGAAAGTTCTGAAGGATTGCTGGGAATACGAGTATAAAAAACTATCAAGCTTTGGATGGACTGCCAATGAGGAGGCACAGAATATGGGAATTAGTGACATCAATATTGCTCCTTCTGTGGCAACTTCAGCAATTCCTCCTTGGCTTTTCCCTATGCCTGTAGTTGACATTCAGCTATATGAAGAAAAACATAACCAGGAAAGAAGTATGCTAACAAATATAGCAGTGCAGCAATACATTGAACAAACTTATTATAGTATATTGCAAATATACACGGATGGCTCTAAAGATCCTGAGTCTGGAATAACAGCAGCAGCAGTCTACATACCCCAATTCAAAGTCAAAATTTCAAAAAGAATTTCAGATCACATATCTGTTTATACTACAGAGACAATAGCAATATTCCTAGCTCTTCAGTGGATAGAAGAAGTACAGCCAATAAGGTCAGTAATTTGTACAGACTCCCTTTCAGTTTTAAATAGCTTGCTAAGTGGAATTTCAACAGCAAGGCAAGATATCATTTTTGAAGTGATGCAGAGTCTATTTAGAATAAGACAATCTGGTCTTATGGTAAATTTCCTTTGGGTACCATCACATATGGGTGTGGAAGGAAACGAGGAGGCAGACCATCTGGCTAAACAGGCTTTGAAGCATGCACAAATTGACATTAAAGTGTCAATGAGTAAAGCAGAAGTAAAAGGGTTAATTGCAAATGAAATAAGAAAGAAATGGCAGAAGGAGTGGGATAGTGGAACAAAAGGTAGACACTTTCATCATGTTCAAGAGAAAGTAGGTCAAGAAAGAAGAAAGTTTGGCAACAGGAAAGAAGACGTTTTAATGTCAAGAATGCGTATTGGACATTGTCTGTTAAATCAGTGTCTGTATAGAATGGGGAAGCATGAAACTGGAAAGTGTGACAAATGTGGTCATGCAGAATCAGTAGAACATGTACTTATAGAGTGTGTTGCATATGAAGGAGCAAGATTTCAACTAATTCAAGCTTTAGGATCATTCGGAATAAATAATTTGTCACTTCAGGTTCTGTTAGGAAATGGCCCAAAGCAATCAAGAATATTTCATGAATTAATTATTTTCTTAAAAGAAACAAGACTGATCAATAGAATTTAGGATACAGTTGTAGTAAATAAAGCGGGAATAATTGGCGTTGTATTTTTGTTTTTGTTTTTGGCTATAGTTCTCAAACTTCCAATCATTATGCGCTCCACACTCCTATCCAGTAGGTGGCGGGAATGCACCATTTAAGTTGGTTTGCCAACCGCCATTAAATTTAAAAGAAGAAGAAGACATTTGCTCAAGCGTTTCGAGAATGGTGTGGTCGAAAAGATTTTCTTTCTTTTCTGAAATAAAGGCGACTTAACTTAGTGGGATGGGTGTGTGTCACTGTCCACGAAACAAAGACTGACAGGGAGGATCTCTGAATAGGGTCGGCTAATTATAATACGGAACTAAACCGCCCCCGGCCCGTACCTCTCGGCTTTTACTTGGTGAACAGCATTCAGTTAACATATGAAGAGATGGGAAGCACGTTGCTAGTTAGCTTTAAGTGAAGTCTAAAATTATCCACCAACCCAAATTTGCATGAGGCAGAAAATAGCCAGGACATGATTTTGAAGCCGAATTACCCGTTTAGGCTGTCAGATTTCGGATTTAAATTGGAAACCACAGATTAACTGTTATGCTAGCTAGAGTTGGGCTGAAATGGCCTCGGAGCCAAATCCTGCAGTTTTTCTCACTTCAGTTATGGAGGAAATAATCTGTCTGGTAAGAATGTGACACCTTGTTACATAAAATAGATAAAACAATAAAAAATTTCCTCTGGTACTTCTGCTGTAATCATGACAAAGCTGCTTGTTTTGAAACTTTCTTGTTATCAGAAATAAAAAAAAGTGTTTATAGATTAAAAATAACCTTCCATTAATTTTGTGATACAGAAGTTCTGTGTTCTTCGATAATAACAAAGGCAACAGTTGATGTCAGTATCGATGGTGTAAGACGTTTTAACATTTTAGTTTAATATAATTTACTTAGTTTGTTATTTTAAACTGTTGTGTTATCTTTACTTAAAAAGTGTTATCTTGCGGCCCCATTAGAAATTTGCTAGCCCCCTCTTAGTTGACGACGACTGTCATTTTTTCAATGACTCTTCAATATTTTACCGTCTTAAGTTTGTGAGGAATGTTGAAGACTAATTAATTATTTGATCAACGCTAGTTACATGACGCCTGATAGTGTTGTGTACACTTCAATTCATTTTCTTAAGCAAATAATTAAATTCAGCATAAACTTCCAGTGTAGACGTTAGCTGTCATATTAGTTGTATCCTGGTATGATGACGCATGCTGCTCTATCGTAACGTTGTCATAATCAGTCATAAAGATCACAGAGCGGATGTCACGCAGACTGTGCGCGCCTAACATCGGCCTCATTTTCGATTTTGTTCTTTTAATGTGATCTGAATCTTGAACATAACCTAATGATAGGCTGATGAACACTGCGCCATCCTCTGCTTGGTGTAGTTAGTCTTTTTGTGTTTCTGTCTGTGTTCTAAATAGTCCCTCTGAGGTGAGAGTCTCTTCACATAGAGCTCGTGATGAAAGCTCTCAGTGCGCGCTCCGCGTTTTACGTGGGCTTTGTGGTAGGCACGTGCACCCTGTACGTGCTCCTGCGTCAGGTTGGATTCACTCGGGACTTGGGGTCTGGTGAGTCCGAGGCCCACGAGAAAAGTCTGCTGGAGATGGTTGAAGAAGAAAACAAGAACTGGAAGAAGGAGAGGTCGGCTCTCTTCAACCTCAATCATCCTCACCATACAGGTAGATACAATGAAGAAACTAATGAACCTTTATGACTTACGTGTCTTATGTGGAACCTGAAAGAAGATATGTTAAATGACAAAACAGATTCAGTGAAAGAGAATAGTAGGAAATCAAGTCATACAGGTTTGGAACAACATGAGGTGAGTAAATGACGGCAGAATCTGAATCTTTGTTTTTTTTCTTTAAGCATATCTGTGTCTATCTGGCTGGGATAACTCAAATGGCATTTAAATAAAAACATTACGGGTGCTCTTGTTATTTCACCTGTACAAGTTGTTCAACTTGTTTTGCATCGTTTTGTTGGAAGCCATAATATGGTAATGATAGCCTTGTTAATTGCCTGTTACAGACAGTCATGCTCAATTTTTTAGAAAGAAGTTATTTGTCAGGTCTTATGATCCACAAAGAACAAGTGAATCTGTCAATTACTGTAATACCCAAAATAAAGGCATTCCCAAAAGAGGTGTGTTAGACAGTTAGAGCTAGATGATGTATACAGTACTTCAGTATATTACACCCTTTTATTGGTATTAATTGTGGATATAACATCACACCCTAATGTTACAATTGAAGAAACAGTTAACATGTTCCATTTGAATGTGAACGCAGTCGTTTTGTGTACTCTGTGAGAAACTCTTTATGGGCATGTTTGTGTCTGTCTGTGTATACTCCCTGAAGAGTTGGACTTTGCTTTTGATTTTGGGCTCGCATCTAATGTGTTGTCCTTGTTAAAGTTTACAGAAAGGTTTTATCGCCAGCTGGTTATCAATAAACTACCCCAAAAGTAATAAACTGTGGACTACCATATGCTGGCTCTAAATTCTCTGAATACGTATTTGACATAAATTTAAACAGATAGTAGTATTCTATGCTTCATAGAAAACAATTTCTTACGTGTTTATCAACATTTTTAAAAGCCTTTTGGATTTGATTAGTTAATTTTAAAGCATCAATTCTGCCATAAATTTAAATTCTGTCATCATTTACTCACCCTCATGTCATTCCTCATCTTCGAAACACAAATGAAGATATTTTTAATGAAACCTAAGTGATTTCTGTCCCTCCACTGAAAGTCTATGCAAAAAAAAAAAAAAAGAGAAGATTAAAA